CAAGCACTATTCCAAATATTTACTGGTTTAATCTTCATAACTTTTTGGTATAGGTACTGTTGCATTTTCCTCATTTCATGAGAAACTGAGGCACAGAGAGGTTAAGTTATGCATTGAAATTTACACAGCTGTTAGTGGTAAAGTTAGAGTTTGAATCCAGATAGTCTGGCTTCAGAGGCCATTAAGACTATGCAGCCATTACACACTTTTAATGGGTGATTGCCTAACATTTCTCAATAGAGAGTGCTGTTGACTTGTTGAGTAGGACAGTTCTCCACACACAGGGTGGGGCAAAAGTAGGTTTACAGTTCATATGGAAAATGATACATTGCCTGGCCAGCGTGACTTAGTGATTGAGCATCCAACCTATGAACCAGGAGGTCATGGTTCGATTCCCGTTCAGGGCACATGCCTGGGTTGCGTGCTCGATCCCCAGTGTGGGTTGTGCAGGGGGTAGCCAATCAATGATTCTCTGTCATCATTGATGTTTCTATCACTCTCTCCCTCTCCCTTCCTCTCTGAAATCAATGAACATTTTTTTAAAAAGAAAATAAGACATTAATAAACAATAATACAAGAATCTGGACAATGTGGATGAAATAGGCAAATTCCTAGAAAAATAACAATCTCCCAAAACTGAATCAGGAAGAATAAAAAATCCTGAATAGGCCAATAACAACTGATGAAATAGAGCAGTAATCAAAAAACTCCCACTAAACAAAAGCCCAGGTCCAGATGGCTTCACGGGAGTTTTTCCAAACATTCAAAGAAGAACTAACACGTATACTCCTGAAACTATTTCAGAAAATCCAAGAGGAGTGAACACTTCCAAACTCTTTTTATAAGGCCAGCATTATTCTAATTTCCAAACCAGATAAAGACACTACAAAGAAAGAGAATTACAGGCTAATATCCTTGATGAACATAGATGCTAAAATCTTCAGAATACTAGCAAATTGCATCCAGCAATATATTAAAAATATCATACACCATGACCAAGTGGGATTTATTCCAGGGATGCAAGGCTTGTACAATATTCACAAATCAATAAACGTGATGCATCACATAAACAAATTGAAAGGCAAAAATCACATGATATTATCAATAGATGCAGAGAAAGCATTCGGCAAAATCCAGCATATATATATACTAGAGGCCTGTTGCATGAAGAGATTCGTGCAATAGGCCTTCCCTTCCCCTGGCTGCCGGCACCGGTTTTCCTCTGGCACCTGGGACCCAGGCCTTTGCTCTGGCCGGAGCCTTCAGTCTTTGCTCCGCCGCTTGGTGCCTATGTATGCAAAGTAATCGCCATCTTTGTTGGGTTGATTTGCATACTGTTGATTGGCTGATGAGTGTAGCGGAGGGATGGTCAATTTACATGTTTGTCTATTACTAGGTAAGATGGCTAATATGCAAAGAATCCCTTCAGGAGTTCAGTTGGGAAACCGGGAGTTTAATCGCTTGCTATGATGTGCGTTGACCACCGGGGGGTGGCGTGGAACAAAGGAAGGTCCCGGCTGGCAGCTGGCAGCCGGGGCTAGAAGGCCCCAGTCAGCAGCCGGAAGGCCAGCGATCAGGTCTAGGGACCCTAACCACGCATGAATTTTGTGCAGCGGGCCTCTAGTTTTTGATAAAAACTCTTAGCAAAATTGGAATAGAGGGAGCATATCTCAACATAATAAAGGCCATATATGACAAAACTACAGCCAACATCATACTCAGTGGGCAAAAACTAAAACCATTTTCCCTAAGAACAGGAACAAGACAGGTTGCCCACTTTCACCACTCCTGTTCAACATAGTACTGCAAGTGCTAGCCATAGTGATCAGACAAGAAGAAGAAATAAAAGGCATCTGAATTGGAAAAGAAGTAAAACTATCATTATTTGCAGATGACATGATATTGTACATAGAAAACCCCAAAGACTCCATCAAAAAACTACTAGACTTAATAAATGAATTCAGCAATGTAGCAGGATACAAAATTAACACCCAAAAATTGATGGCTTTTTTTATACACCAATAATGAACTCAAAGAAAGAAACTAAGCCCTAGCCAGTTTGGCTCAGTGGATAGAGCGTCGGCCTGTGGACTGAGGGGTCCCAGGTTCGATTCTGGCCAAAGGCACATACCTGGGCTGCAGGCTCGATCCCCAGTGGGGGGCATTCAGGAGGCAGCCGATCAATGATTCTCTCTCATCATTGATGTTTCTATCTCTCTATCCTTCTCCCTTCCTCTCTAAAATCAGTAAAGATGTATTTAAAAAAAAAAGAAGAAACTAAAAAAAAAAAATCAATCCTATTTACCATTGCACCAAAAAAATTAAGATACCTAGGAATAAACTAAGGAGGTAAAAGACTTATACTCAGAAACTACAGGATGTTGAAAAAGATAGAGGAAGACATAAACAAATGGAATAATATACCGTGTTCATAGATTGGTAGAATCAACATCATTAAAATGTCCATACTACCCAAAGCAATCCATAGATTCAATGCAATCCCCATTAACATACCAATTTTTCACAGACCTGGAACAAACTCTCCAAAAATTCATCTGGAATAAAATAAGACCCTGAATAGCTGCAGCAATCCTGAGAAAGAATAACAAAGTTGGAGGGATCACAATACCAGATATCAAGCTGTATTACAAAGCCACTGTTCTCAAAACTGCCTGGTACTGGCACAAGAACAGACATATAGACCAATGGAACAGAACAGAGAACCCAGAAATCGACCCAAGCCATTATGCTCAATATTTGACAAAGGAGACAAGAGCATACAGTGGATTCAAGGCACTCTCTTTAATAAATGGTGTTGGGAAAATTGGACAGATGCATGCAAAAAAATGAAACTAGATCACCAACTTACACCATACACAAAAATAAACTCAAAATGGATAAAGGACTTAAAGGTAAGACAGGAAACCATAAAAATCTTAGAAGAATCCATAGGCAGCAAAATATCAGACATATATCGAAGAAATACCTTCACCCGTACGGCTCCTAGGGCAATGGAAACTAAAGAGAAGATAAACAAATAGAACTACATCAAAATAAAAAGCTTCTGTACAGCAAAAGAAACCATCAACAAAACAAGAAAGCCCACTGCATGGAAGAACATATTTGCTAATGTTATCACCGATAAGGGTTTAATCTCCAGCATTTACCGGGAACTCATATAACTTAACAAAAGGAAGATAAACAATCCAATCAAAAAATGGGCAACGGACCTAAATAGACATTTCGAAAGAGGACATACAGAAGGCCGGGAGACATGAAAACATGCTCAAAGTCACTAATCATCTGAGAGATGCAAATCCAAACAACAATGAGGTACCATCTCACCCCTGTCAGAATGGCTATCATCAACAAATAACAAGTGCTGGCAAGGATGCGGAGAAAAAGGAACCCTCTTGCACTGCTGGTGGGAATGCAGACTGGTGCAACCACTGTGGAAAACAGTATGGAGTTTCCTTAAAAATGGAACTCATCTGGTTTTTGAACAGTTGCTAAGTTTTGAATATAATTGTAGTACTTTATAGGTGTATCTTATTTCTTCTAAGTTGAATATTTTTGGCATATTGTTCTCCCTGAAGAGCTCCCCTTTCCCTCAGTTTAGTTCTATCAGTAATCCATAAATTCTTCTACTTTCTATTGCCTGCAAAGTTGATAAGCCTACCTGTCATATCTCTAGTCAAGTTACTGATTTTAAAAATCTGCAACAGAAATCTGTGGAATACAATTAGATATTTTTTCCATTTTAATATAGATCTTTTTTTGTTGTTGTTAATCCATTTAGAAAGAGTGAAAGGGAGAAGGAAAGACAGAAACATCAATGTAAGAGAGACACAGGGATTGGTTGCCTTCCCCAGGTGCCCCGACTGGGGCCGGGAATTGAGCCTGCAGCCAAGGTACATGCCCTGTGCTGGAATTGAACCCATGACTTTAGTCCATAGGCCGATGCTGTGTCCACTGAACCAAACCAGCCAGGGCTTGAATTGACTCATTGTTGATATTAAGCTGGCTAACACATTTACCTAATTCTACGGTGGTCAGATTTGAACACCTATTTATGGTAGATTTCAGTAAAGGATCTGGGAAAACAGAAGAATCTCCTTTTTTAGATAACTAGATTTTATACTTAAAGATTCATTATCTTCATTAACTATCTGGTACAGTAATTTTGGGGGGGGGACTATACCTTTTTCTCTTCTCAGAAATGCTAAAGATTTGTAATAATAAATAGTTGCATGAATATATAATTTTTTAAAGTAGGATATTTATCTTTACCATATGTTAGAAAAGTCTTCTTGTGGATCTAGAGCAGTGGTTCTCAACCTTCCTAAGGCCACAGCCCTTTAATATACTTCCTTATGTTGTGGTGACCCCCAATTTCATTGTTACAAATTGAACATAATTAAAGCATAGTGATTAATCACAAAAACAATACGTAATTATATATGTGTTTTCCGATGGTCTTAGGCGACCCCTGTGAAAGGGTCGTTTGACCCCCAAAGGGGTTGCAACCCACAGGTTGAGAACCGCTGATCTAGAGACTTGGTGGGATTAAGAGCAATTGTTTGGGATTGAACTTTCTTTTCTTTTTTGTGAGAACTACAGTTGACCCTTAACAATATGGGTTTGAACTGCTCAGGTCCACTTATACTCAAGTTTTTTGTTTTGTTTCGATAAATACAGTATGGTAAATGTAATTTCTTTTATGATTTCTTAGCATTTTCTTTTCTCTAGTTTACTGTATTGTAAGATTATAGTATATAATAATATACCAAAAATTTGTTAATTCACTGTTGATGTTATTGGTAAGGCTTCCAACCAACAGTAGGCTATTAGTAATTATGCTTTTGAGGAATTCAAGTTATACGCAGATACTTGATTACATGGGTGTCAGGACCTCTAACTCCGTGTTCTTCAAGGATCAACTCTCTTTTTTTTGGCCAGGTACATTCTGTAAATTAAGGAAAAGTTTTATTTTTTTTCAGCTTGCTGAATTAAAGCAGGAATGTCTTGCTCGTGGTTTGGAGACCAAGGGAATAAAACAAGATCTCATCAACAGGCTCCAGGCCTATCTTGAAGAGCATGGTGAGTACTTTGTGGAGACAAAGAGTGGTTTGATTAAGGGTATTAATTTTTAGGCTCTGCTATATGGAAGATTTCTTCTTTTCCTTTAGATTGTTGGTAATGTAAACTGTTAATTAACTATATCAAGAAAACTCTTGGTTATCCATAACAGTGGTCTTAATGCAAAAAAAAAAAGCCACTCCCTCCCCCTTTTTAAATACATTGTAATTTTATTTCAGCAAATTATTTAAAAGGAAGTATGGTACAACAATACCATTAACCTGTGAATTAGAATATTTAAATTCTAATTCCTTTTATGCCAGAAATTTACTAGGTAACTTTGGATAGTCACTGTTTATTTCAGAGAGGAAAGGAGAGGGAGAGAGAGATGGAAACATCAATGATCAGAGAGAATCATTGATTTGCTGCTTCCTGCACGTCCCACCCAGGATTGAACAGTGACCTCCTGGTCGACACTCAACCACTGAGCCTTGCTGGCCAGGCAGTACTGTGTTGTTTTAAAGATGTGTTTGTTTGGCTTATGGCTGTGTTGTCATCTAGTCTATTAATTCTAATTTCTATATAAAATCTACCACATTTTAATTCACCCAGTGATAGACACCTCTGTTGCCCCCTGAACTACTACTTTCATGTTCCTTCATATTCCTTTGTAAGAGTCTTTCTGGGTTATATACCCAGGAATGGGTTGCTAATTAATATATATTTATGATGTATACTTAATATGACTAAGCACTGCCAAATTACTTTCCAGAATTGCTCTGTATATCTATAGAGTGCGTGATGGTTCTTGTATAGCTTTCACAGACCTAAACTTGGTGTACTATCTTATCAAGTAGCCTAATTTTTGCTAATCTCCTGGTTGTTTCAGTTTATATTTCTCTAATTATTAAAGAGTTTAAACATTTCTGTGTTCATGGTTCTTTGTGTTTCTCCTTTGTTTATTATTCTTTTAGGATTTATACCATTCATTAGTTAGTTTGCAAGCCATTTCTTTTAAATTCTACTCCCTCTGTCCCATAATAATAGTAGCAGTTGATGAATGTAATTTGTCCCATAATAATAGTAGCAAAAGAAAATAAATATAGAACGCAACATTTATTATAAAAAAACTAGATTAAATTAAACAATAAATTAAAAATAGTACTCCTAATTTTTATTTTGAGTGTTCAGATAGTTTCTGGATTTTTCAATAATTTCGTTACTGCATTTTAAATTTGTAGGTAGGATCCGTTGGCTGCAAAGCTTTGCTTTCCCAACGTGCGTGAGCTTAAAATTATTGGAGCCATCGTTCTTCATTGCTTCCAGCATAACTTGTTGAAGTGACAGAAACGTATCATCCAGTATTTTGGGAGAAATATTATCAAAGGCTAATATGGTGCCTCTTCTGCTAAGAGGAATATGTCTAAGTTTTTCAAGTGTTTCTCCATAATCTTTGCATTTACGTCCACAGTTTTGTTTTTTCAAAGAATCAACATTAGCATAAGATTCTCCTTGACAGTTATTTTCGGAAGCACGTTTCCAAATTCTTGATATGGTCATTCTGTTGCACTTAAATTGTTTTGCAGCTAACGTAATTGCACCTTTCTGCAACTTTTCCTTTTTCTTTTGATGCATCAAGAACTGGACAATCGCAACTCGATCTTTGCTTGAAAACTCTCTTTTTTTCATCTTACTTTTACAATGGGTTGCTATTCAACTGAAATAAAATAATTGATTTCAATCAGCGGATGAAATTAGAAAAATAGTTATAATTTGTAATAATTAGATTAACCTAAAAATTGAAAGATGTGTCAAAACAAATGACAGACGTCATGAAACATTGATTTTGATTGAAAGCTTCGCAATTTTGCGCTACAACATAATTTACAGCTATATTCGCCAATAATTCCCATTTAAATACTCACTTGCTACTATTATTATGGGACAGAAGGAGTAGTAACTATTCCCTTGTTGGTTTTAGACTAATATCTTCTTTGTCATTTGTTTCCTTTTCCATGGTGTTTTTCCTTAGTTTTAAAAAAAATCTGCAATTTTTTTTCATATTACATTAAATAAAATGATTTTAGGGAGCGGGGAGAGAGAGAGGGAGAGAGAGCGATGTGAGAGAGATACATTGATTGGTCTCCTCCCATGTTCCCTGACAGGGAATCGAACCCGCAACTTTCCCGTACACAGGGCGACGATGCTCCAACCAACTGAGCCACACCAGCCAGGGCTTTCTCATACTATTTTTGCTTTTGATTTTTGTGTGTGTGTGTGTGTTTAATATATATATATATTTGTGTTGACTTCAGAGAGGAGGGGAGAGGAAGAGAGAGATAGAAACATCAATGACAAGAGAGAATCATCCATTGGTTGCCTTCTTTATGCCCCCACTGGGGACCAAACCTGTCACCCGGCATGTGCCCTGACCAGGAATCAAAGTGAGACCTCCTGGTTCCTAAGTCGATGCTCAACCACTGAGCAACACTGTCAGGGCTTGCTGCTTCTTTTTTTTTTTTAATTTTAGAAATCTTTCCCTACCACTAAATCTTAAAGGTATTCTCCCATATTACTTAATATTAATATTTAAATTTGATCTCATTACATTTAGTTCTTCAGTTCAGCTGAACTTCAACTTTGTACTAATGTTAGATGGAGAAAACAGTTTTATCTTCTCTGTGGAGCATTTTTACCAGCATTAGTTTTGCCTTCATTATTGAATTGTATTTTGGGAAAGCAAAATGATTATAATTTTAGCCTGAGTGAAGTGATCAATGTGGTTTTGTAGCAGGGCTTGACCTGAATATTTTAATATTCTTTAGCTGAAGAGGAGGCAAATGAAGAAGACGTACTAGGAGATGAAACAGAGGTGAGTTGGAAAGAATAAGGTTGATCACTGACATGATAGTGTGTCGCTACCTTGGCAACATTGCTTAACATCAGTCATTACAGGGCTTAAATACTAACTTGTTAAGGGAGTGTAGTGGGGGAATAAAAATTCTGAAAGACTGGTTCATTTTAGAGTTTTCACATTCTTCTACTGATAGGTTTTTACTCTTGATTTATATTAAATATCCTGTTTCATTTGATTTTAGGAAGAAGAACCAAAGCCCATAGAACTGCCTGTTAAAGAGGAAGAACCCCCTGAAAAAACTGTTGATGTGTAACTATCTCTTTTTATAATTTGAGTACAGAGCGGACAATTCCGGTTTTGGGGGTGGGATAGTAGTGTTTCATTTTGTTTAACTTTTATGTGTTCTTGTTGGCTTTTTCATCTCTCAGTAGATCATACATTTTCAGAAGAGTCTATTTCATTTCAAGTATATGGTCTCAGTGAAGCAAAGTAGTTTGTCTCTGGTTTATGTAATAGGTAATTAGGACCAGGAAGTTTTAAGCTCAAAGTTTAGGTCTTCTAGCCTTTGTTGTATCACCATAATAGATAATTCTCTGTATAGCGAATTATACAAATTCTCTGCATATAAGGAATTTTGTAAAGAAGGAGAGTGCTGAGCAGAGATTTTGCCTCTCAAGTGCACTATTCTCTATACCGTTTTGAATTACAATAGAGGAGGGGAGGACAAAATACTAGAGTGGAAAGTAGATCTTGATTTATTTAAACTATCCCACTATGTTATCTTAAACATTTTTTATTTGGGGCTCTTTCTACAAATGTCTGGCCATCTTATTCTCTAGCACCGTGGTTGGCAAACTGTGGCTCACGAGCCACATGCGGCTCTTTGGCCCCTTGAGTGTGGCTCTTCCTCAGCCTTAGGAGTACCCTAATTAAGTTAATAACAATGTACCTACCTATATAGTTTAAGTTTAAAAAATTTGGCTCTCAAAAGAAGTTTCAATCGTTGTACTGTTGATTTTAGCTCTTGACTAATGAGTTTGCCGACCACTGCTCTAGCATATTAAGAACTGTTGAGTCCCTTTTAGCATTTTTGTTCCTCATAGCTGTGTTAATGCATTTAACTATAAAATGCAATGTATAGACTAATAAAAAGCAAACAAGACATACACACAAGTAGCCCTTGTTTTCACCCCCCATCTGATTTCCTAGAGGTTTTCAGTATATTCTTTTGTAATATATTACATGGTATGTGTATATACGGATACATATGGTTACACACTGTGCATATTGTTGGTTTCTTGATTTTTTTTCACATCTGGAGATCTTTTTTTGGAACAGTTATCTCAGGTAATGCTTCCTTTTTTTTTTTTTTTTAAATCTTTATTGTTAAAAGTATTACATATGTCCTCTTTTTTTCCCCCATCGACCCCTTACAGCTCACCCCATCCATGGGTTATGCATGTATGCATACAAGGTCTTTGGTTGATTACCTCCCACCCACCCACCCTCCTGTGCCTTCACTCTGAGATTCCGCACACTGTTTCATGCTTTCCTGTCTCTGGGTCCACTGTGTTCATCAGTTTATTTTGTTCATTAGATTCCGCATATGAGTGAGATCAGGTGATACTTGTCTTTCTCTGACTTATTTCACTTAGCATGATACTCTCCAGGGCCCTCCAGGCTGTCTCAAAGGGTAAGAGAGTCTTCTTTTTACTGCTGAATAGTATTCCGTGGTATAAATGTACCACAGCTTTTTTATCCACTCATCTACTGAAGGGCATTTGGGTGTTTCCAGATCTTAGCTATTGTAAATTGTGCTGCTATGAACATAGGGGTGCATACATTCTTTCTGATTGGTGTTTCGGGTTTCGTAGGATATATTCCTAGAAGTGGGATCACTGGATCAAATGGCAGTTCCATATTTAATTTTTTGAGGAAACTTCATACTATTTTCCATAATAGCTACACCAGTCTGCATTCCCACCAGCAGTGTACTAGGGTTCCCTTTTCTCCACATCCTTACCAGCACTTGTCATTTGTTGATTTGTTGATGGTAGCCATTCTGAGAAGTGTGAGGTGATACCTCATTGTCATTTTAATTTGCATCTCTCTGATGATTAGTGACTGAGCATTTTTTATATGTCTCTTGGCCTTCTGTAGGTCCTCTTTTGAAAAGTATCTGTTTAGGTCCTTTGTCCATTTTTTAATTGGATTGTCTTCCTTTTGTTAAGTTGTATGAGTTCCTTATATATTTTGGATATTAACTCTTCATCAGATGTATCATTGCCAAATATGTTCTCCCATGCAGTGGACTCCCTTTTCATTTTGTTGATGTTTTCTTTTGCTATGCAAACATTTTTTTATTTTGATGTAGTCCCATTTGTTTATTTTCTCCTTAATTTCCTTTGCCCTAGAAGATGTATCCGTAAACATTGCTACAAGAGATGTCTGAGATTTTTTTTTTTTAATATATTTTATTGATTTTTTACAGAGAGGAAGGGAGAGAGATAGAGAGTTAGAAACATTGATGAGAGAGAAACACCGATCAGCCGCCTCCTGCACATCTCCCCACTGAGGATGTGCCCGCAACCCAGGTACATGCCCTTGACCGGAATCGAACCCGGGACCCTTGAGTCCGCAGGCCGACTCTCTATCCACTGAGCCAAACCGGTTTCGACGAGATGTCTGAGATTTTGCTGCCTATCGTTTCTTCTAGGATTTTTATGGTTTCCCAACTTAAATTTAGGTCTTTTATCCATTTTGAGTTTATTCTTGTATATGTTGTAAGTTGGTGGTCTAGTATCATTTTTTTGCATGTATCTGTCCAATTTTCCCAACACCATTTATTGAAGAGACTCTTTTTTTTTTAAATCACCCCCCCACCCCCACTGTCCTCATCTATAGATGCACGATTTTTGTTCAGTGAAGAGACTCTCTTGACTCCACTGTATGCTCTTGCTTCCTTTGTCAAATATTAATTGAGCATAATGGCTTGGGTCGATTTCTTGGGTCTCTGTTCTTTCTGTTCCATTGATCGATAGGCCTGTTCTTATGCCAGTTCCAGGCTGTTTTGATCATGGTGGCTTTGTAGTATAACTTGATATCTGGTATTGTGATTCCTCCAACTTTGTTCTTCTTTCTCAAGATTGCTATAGCAATTCGGGTTCTTTTTTGGTTCCATATACATTTTTGGAGTATTTGTTCTAGATCTGTGAAATATGCTGTTGATATTTTAATAGGGATTGCATTGAATCTGTTGATTGCTTTGGGTAGTATGGATATTTTAATGATGTTGATTCTACCAATCCATGAACACGGAATATTCTTCCACTTGTTTATATCTTTTTCTATCTCATTTTTCAACATCCTGTAGTTTTCTGAGTACAAGTCTTTTACCTCCTTGGTTAAGTTTATTCCTAAGTATCTTAATTTTTTTTGGTGCAGTGGTAAATGGGGTTGTTTTTTAATTTCTCTTTCTGAGAATTCATTATTGGTATATAAAAAAAGCCATCAATTTTTGGGTGTTGATCTTGTTTTTGCTACATTGCCAAATTCATTTATTAAATCTAGTCATTTTTTTAAAAATATATTTTATTGATTTTTTACAGAGAGGAAGGGAGAGGGATAGAGAGTTAGAAACATCAATGAGAGAGAAACATAGATCAGCTGCCCCCTGCACACTCCCTACTGGGGATGTGCCCACAACCAAGGTACATGCCCTTGACTGTAATCGAACCTGGGACCCTTGAGTCCACAGGCTGACACTCTATCCACTCAGCCAAACCGGTTAGGGCAATCTAGTCATTTTTTGGTGGAGTCCTTAGGATTTTCTATGTACAATATCATGTCATCTGTGAATAATTAGAGTTTTACTTCCTCCTTTCCAGATTTAGTAGTTATCAGCTTAGAGCAGTGATGGTGAACCTATGACACGCCTGTCAGAGGTGACACACGAACTCATTTTTTTGGTTGATTTTTCTTTGTTAAATGGCATTTAAATATATAAAATAAATATCAAAAATATAAGTCTTTGTTTTACTATGGTTGCAACTGTCAAAAAATTCCTGTATGTGACACGGCACCAGAGTTAAGTTAGGGTTTTTCAAAATGCTGACACGCCGAGCTCAAAAGGTTCGCCATCACTGGCTTAGTGTCTTATTCTTTCTAGCAACTAATAGTATTCCATTCCAGGGATAAACAGTAATTTCATTGGTCTCCTGTTGATGGACATTGAGATTATTCATACTAGCAGAAAATGCAGTGCTACATGTCCTTATGCAGTGTTTTTATACTTATGCAAATATGTTCATAGGATATATCTCTGGAGTTGCTGCATTACAGGGGATGTGCATGTAATGTTTTATTAGATTTTGTCAAATATTACTGCTTTGAAAACCTTTTAGTTATCTTCCATCATAGGGGCTTGTGTTTAGATATAATGTTTTTTATTTTTTTTAAATATATTTTATTGAGTTTTTACAGAGAGGAAGGGAGAGGGATAGAGAGTCTGAAACATCGATCAGCTGCCTCCTGCAAACCCCCTACTGGGGATGTGCCTGCAACCAAGGTACATGCCCTTGACCGGAATCAAACCTGGGACCCTTTAGTCCGCAGGCCGACGCTTTATCCACGGAGCCAAACCCGTTAGGGCTAGATATAATGTTTTAAGAAAATGTTTTATGGGATAGCTTTAAAATTGAGATGTTTTTGGGACTTCTGGGCAAGAAGCAATATCAGGTAAATACAGTGATAATTGGCTTGTGTGGTTTAAAAATAATGAAATTTGGACCTGGTCGATGTGGCTCGGTTGGACATCATCCCCGCACCAAAAGGTTACCTGTTTGACTCCCTGTCACGGCACATACACAGGTTGTGGGCTCTGTCCCCAATAAGGGGATAGGGAACATGCAGACGGCAGCTGATCAGTGTTTCGCACTCTCTCTCTCAAAAAGAAAAAAAATCAATAATAAATATTTTGAAAAGTGAAGTTTGAAAATTTGTAAAAGTTCATTATTCTTAGGACATGTAAAATGTATAATTTGTTTAAAGGGTTTTAATTTTATTAATAATTTCTAAACAGGGAAATTGTATGTGTGGGATGGTGGTGATTTGGCTTTTTGGAGGGAAGTAATGGTTAGACTAAACTATGTATAGTACATGCCCGGCTGGCATGGCTCAGTGGTTGAGCGTCCACCTACGAACCAGGCAGTCACGGTTCAATTCCTGGTCAGGGCACAAGCCCTGGTTTTGGGCTTGGCCCCCTACTAGGGGGTCATGCAGGAGGCAGCCAGTCAATGATTTTCTCTCATTATTGATGTTTCTCTCTCTCTCTCCTCCTTTCCTCCTTGAAATCAATAAAAATATATATTTTTAAAAATATGTACAGTTCAGAGAAGGTCTGAGTCCCTATAGTTTAGACAGTGGTATGTGACTGTGTGTCAAAAATTTCTCAATGAAGAGACGAAATTTCCCATGAGTCCCAGAATGTGATGTGTTTTTATTGCTTGTGATTAAATGCACCTGAGGGGGTTAGAATGGAACAGAAGGAGGGTTCCTCTTTGAGGTTCCATTTCTGCTATGAGGTGAACTGCAGTGATTGTGCTTTAAGACAGGAATGTGAAGAAAGTCATTAGCTTGGGGTTGGTGGAGAGGACTGCTTTCTTAATGGCATTGGACTTGAAGAAAAACATAACTTCAGTGTCCCTTTTTGCCTGAACAAGACAGGGAAGGAAGAGTGACCAGGAGTTGGGAAGAATTCAAAAATTTCTTTACAAGTCAGAATATTTAGGGCTAATTTAGCTCCCTTGAACATTCAATAGGAGACCCCCTTACTTCATCTTTGGTTTGATAGTCTCCAAAAATATTCCTCTTTCTAGTTTGATGTTTTTTTCTTTTTTCATAGTCAAGTCAGTTCAATATTGTAGGACTTAGTTATGGTCAACAGGGGGCACCTATTGCTTATATGTCAGTTCAGGGACCTCCAACAAAAGGATGTAGGAGAGAGTAAGTTCCTGTTCCAGAATTGCTTCCTCTGAAAATGCCATTAAACCATTACTACCTTTCAGGGCATCAAATGGGAAAAGTGTCTGGGATATTGGAACAAAAGCCGCCCATGTCTCTAAATGAGGGACCTTAATGAGACTGGTTATGACCCACAGTTTTATGGGAGTCGTTTGGTGGAAGGTTAATTCCCTTCCATTTATCCTGGGTACTTCCGAACTTTGTCTACCGCCCCTGTGGTCCTCCTCTTTTGTTTTCTCTTAGCCTTTTGACTAGTAACTTACCTTGTTTTCCTAATTCAAACTCCCCTTAGCCTTTTTTCTTCCCACTCCTTTTGGCATTTTTATTTGTCCCATTTTGACTGTTTCAGCTGAAACTACAGTCCCCATGGGAAATATAAGGGATTTGTAAAAGAAACCAGAGCTTGTAGAGCACACATTAATTGTTTCTGTGATGAAAATTGAGAGCTGATATTTAAATGAGGGTTAGAGGACTAGATAGAGTCCAGAAGTAAATTTAAAAGTTCCTAAAAGTAAATAAAATGGTTTCCCATATCCTTTGAGTATTTCCCTTCAGCCCAATATATATATCCAGACTTCTTTCCTGATAACTTTCTTATACTTTAGCAAAGTAGCTTAGTCTGTTATTTGAACTCTTATCAATAGATGACAGTTCAAGGAATTGAAGTTCTAATGCGTTTTAAGGTTTTTTGGGTTAAGAAGGGGTGGTAGAGAGATATGGGACAGAAGACATGATTTAGGTAAATTCTTATACAATTCTAAAGTTTTGGTTTAGAATGTCAGTTTTCTCATTTTAAAAAACTCTTTTCCTCTTTTTCCAGGGCAGCGGAAAAGAAAGTAGTAAAAATTACATCTGAAATACCACAGACTGAGGTAGGTATTCTCCCTGGGAGAAGAGCAGGCCCTCTATACATATATCTTCCTATTTCTTACCCTTTATTCTATCTGTATTATCACTTTAAAAATTTTTCCACCAACTGCACTTGAGAAAATATTTCGGCTGGCATAGTCATCGTTGAAACCATAGTCTTTTTGTATATAACACTGTACCTGTGGTCTTAGTGGTATTTCTCTTTAGGATGTTTACAAGCTAGGATTGGAGCTTGGGAGAATTGTACCTTGGGAGAGATGAAAAGTAACAAGGGAAGATATCACCCTTAAGTTATAACTCACTAGCTGGTGAGATTGAAATTTCTGTGGGATTCTGTCTTAAAAACTCTGAAACTAGGTTCCAGTCGAGATCTGTGTTCTTTTATATACCCTTAAAGTAAAGGTGACATAGGATATACTGCCTCATTTCTAACTGAAAGCGTACCATCACTGTTGGAACCAAGTTGTTCCTTTGATCCCTTTTCAAAGGTCAACTAGACACAGCTTTTTTTCTTCTTGACTTCATGCAGATTGTGGGTTTTGTTTTATTTCTTTAGTTTTTGAGGATGTGAATGTAATAATAGTCTTTTTGTGTTTGCTTTCTGGAAATGGCTATTGACTTAAGCGCTCAGATGGATATAACCTGATATCCTCTAAGATTGTCAGTATTCTCAGTTTAGATTTTAAGAAATTATTCCTCATGTTCTAAAGATAAACTTCTAAACAAAACTTTTCTCTTAAGAGAAGAAAACCAGAAATTAAATTTTTCTTTTCCCCTTCTTTTGTCCATTATCACTTAGAGAATGCAGAAGAGAGCTGAAAGATTCAATGTACCTGTGAGCTTGGAGAGTAAGAAAGCTGCCCGGGCAGCTAGGTGAGTGTCCCCCGCCTTTTGGACCTGAGATAATGATAGTATGAAGGTGAGGGGCTATGATTTTAAATATAATTGTTGACTTTAATGAGGATATAGGCCTTGGTGAAAAGAAGCTTTTTTGGCTCTATTCAGAACTCTGTTGATTTGGATATAGTAGCTATAGATAGGTTTTATTATTGAGCAGGGTTTTTGTAATAGGTAAAAGTCAGGAACTGACTAATACTTCTGATAAGGCTTCCTTTTAGCTTATTATTTGGACTCTTGGTGAGAAAAAGAGTAAACGGAACTTCTTTCATGGGGTTGTTAGAATTGGCTAATGATTGCAAGGCTTGAGATCACAAGCAAGAAGTGCCATATGTACACTTGACACGGAGACCAGGAGTGTGAACAGCTCCCTAAAATTTAGCTTGTTTTTCTTTCTACAGATTTGGAATTTCTTCAGTTCCCTCAAAAGGTAAGCATACAGAAACTTTTCTGAGAAAGTTATCTCTATATTCTTACTTTTCTGGCACACAGATTTTATTTCTCCAAGTGAAGGTAAACTTACTAGCTTTAGAAGCCTTTGAGAAGTTGTAACATTTACCTCTTTGCTTTAGGTAAAACTATACGTAAGCCTTCCTGGGCAATTTAGAGAAGATACTGAAGAGAATAGGAAGAAGTACCAACATTTGTTTTTTCTTTTCTTGGACATTTTCAGAGAAGTTTCTAGTACCTCACTTACTCATTCTGTTGTCTCAAATCAGTATATAATTATTATGTATCTGTCTATTGTTATTCTGCCTCGTGTAGTGGTAAAGGGAAAGAGTCTTTTTTACCTCAACAATCTTACTTCTAGGAATTTACAAGGAAATAATCTTGGATATACTTAAAGATTTAGCCACAAAGTTTATCATGCATTATTTGTAGTGATCAGTAACTGGAAGCAGTGTAATATACAATAGGGAATTGGTTAAATAAATTTGTACCATGGTATAGTAGAAGGCCATGCAGATGTTAAAAATGGTATTGAAGAATATTTATTAGGAAGATATTAAGTGAAAAAAGAATGTTATAAAATTTGCAGTAGATTGTCATTTCCTAGTGCACGTATGGCTAGGAAATAAAGGAAATATACTAAATTGTTAATACTCATTATCTCTGGTAGAATTTTGAGTGACTAAATCTTGTCTGTTTTTAAAATTTCTACAATGAAAAAAATTTCTACAGTGAATATGCATTTTGTAATAAATTAGGAAATAAAGGTTACTGGTTTTTTTAAATATATATATATATATATTTTTTTTTTTTGATTGATTTCAGAGAGGAAGGGAGAGGGAAAGAGAGATAGAAACATCAGTGATGAGGAAGAATCATTGATCAGCTGCCTCCTGCACACCCCACACTGGAGATCAAGCCCATAACCCCAGGCATGTGCCCTTGACCAGAATCGAACCCGAGACCCTTCAGTCTGCAGGCCGACGCTCTATCCATTGAACCAAACCAGCTAGGGCAGGTTATTGTTTTTTAAAAGGACATAATCCCTGTAAAATTTAAATGTTTTTTCCTAATCCAATCCGGTCTTCCTAGTGACTTGTTTGTAGTTTCAAGTGTGTTAAGAAAATATCCTCTAAAGATCTTATATTGCTGTGCTTTCTAAAAGACCAGAAAAATTCTGGCCACTATCAGTATGTGTTTTAGAAATAAGTTATTTTCTAGCTTTTAGTTATGTCAAGAGAGAGATAATAGGATTGATGATAGTACAACAAAATTATTTAAGACATTAGGTGGTGCAATTTGAAGAAAGAACAAAAGTTAAGATGAATACAGTCTGAAAAGTAAACCTGATCAGTAAAAATAATGTATAGATAACATTTACAGTGTTACCGTAACTCTGACATCCTAGAATTACAGAGTAGCTCTAAAGAACAGAACAGCCTGGCTGGTATTGCTCACTGGTTAAGTGTTGACCCATGAACCAGGAGGTCACCAGTTCGAGGTCACCGGTTTGATTTCTGGTCAGGGCACTGCCCAGTTCTGGGCATGCAGGAGGCAGCCATCGATGTTTTTCTCTCATCAATGTTTCTGTCTCTCTACCCTCTCCCTTTCTCTCTCTCTAAAAAAATCAATTAAAATGTTTGAACAGAACATTTGAAAGGAGTTTTAGTGTTATGAGTGAGAACATAAAAACATCTAAGAGTTCCTAGCACATGGGTTATGGTAAAAGTTGAATCCATACATAAATGCTTACATTGGAGAGTTACAGAACCAATGACAAAATTGAGATTGCTTAAAATAAAATTCTGAAAAGTTTTAAGTCAGTAATTATTCACTAGATTAGGTTTGATCCTATAGACCAGTTTACTACTTGCTTCTTAGTGATAATTTCCAGACAGAACATTATCTTAAAGAGGCCATAATTTTGCCCAGCTGGTGTGGTTCAGTGGTTGAGTGTCAACCTATGAACCGGGAGGTCCCAGGAGGTCATGATTCCATTCCTGGTCAGGGCACATGCCCACATTGTGGGCTCCATCCCCAGCGTGGCATGCAGGAAGTAGCCAATGAATGATTCTCTCTCATCATTGATGTTTCTACCTCTCCCTCTCCCTTCCTCTCTGAAATCAATAAGAAAGTTTATTTTTTAAAAAGAGGCCATAATTTTAACTCATGATAATAGCTCTGCTCTTTTTTCCAGATATGAATTTCTTTCTCATTTTTTAACAGCTTTATTGAGATATAATTCATATACCATACAATTCATCCATTTAAAATATATAATTTATTGGTTTCTTTATATTCACAGGGTTGTGCAGCTATCATCACAGTCTAATTTTAGGACATATCAATCACCCAAAAACAAAACCCTGTACTCATTATCAGTTGTTTCCCATCCTGTCCCCCTAAGCAACCACTGATTTTTTCTTATGTATATATAAATTTTCCTTCATATAAGTGGAATCATATAATTTGTGGTTATTTGTGACTGAATTCTTTCACTTAGCATAATGTATTCAGATGTTGTAGCATTTATCAGAACTTCATTTCTTTTGTTGGGTAATATTCCATTGTGTGGATATACCATATTTTATCTAACCGTTCATCAGTTGATGAACATTTGGGTTGTTTTCACACTTTGGCTACTATGGATAATGTTGCTGTGAACATTCATATACAAGTTTTTGTATAGATAAATGTTTTCATGTCTTTTGTGTATATACCTAGGCATGGAATTGCTGAATCATATGGTAAACTATGCTTTAACTTTCTGAGGAACTGCCAAACTGTTTCCAAAGTGGCTATACAGATATGATCTCTAGATGCAATCTGCCTTTTACTTCTAATAAAGGAGATTTGTCATATATATTATTTCTATGCTGTCTGACTTGATTTGAAGACTATGAGCTTCCTTTATGACTTTTTAAAATATTAAATAAAACTCTCTTTTTTTAGGCCTGTCATCTGACACCAAGCCTATGGTAAGAAATCTTATTTTATACCTTGAGAGCTAAAACTTAACTCTATCCAGTTAGTATAAAAGTTAGAGAGACTTCTCCTCCCCAGGTCAAAGGAAACTGAGGTCATATGAGCTTGGTAACTGTTTTCAGTAATGTTTGATGTCCTGAATAAAGAGAATTGTTAGAGGTACCGAGAGGTCAGGAAAATTTCCATGTCTTCAAAAATACTATAGACATCCCCTTTCCTACCACTCCTCTTGAACAAATGAATAGATTTTGTTAGAGGACAGCCCATGTAACTCTTTGTTTTATGGTACTGCAGTTTTAGGCCTTGTCCAGTGGCTTTGATAATGTCTAATTCTTAATTACCACAAGAAAATCTGTGAAAGCAACTTAATGAGTTCTATTTATAGATACTGGTATTTTTCAACACTCCTAGTAAATGTAAAATCAGAATAAAGACTAGTAGAATAAGACACTTCTGGGCCATTGTGACTAGTAGGCATGATTAGAAAATGAAAATAAGTGATGTGGTGAAATATGTTCAGTTTGTCCTTAGCTCAGTTGGTTGGAGTGTCGTCCTGTACACAGAAAGGTCCAAGTTTGATTCCCGGTCAGGGCACATATCCAAGTTGCCGGTTCAATCCCTGGTTGGCATGTACGGGAGGCAACCAGTTGATGTTTCTTTCTCACATTGATGTTTCTTTCTCTCTGTCTCCCGTTTCCTCTCTCTAAAATCAATAAAAACATATCCTCGGGTGAGGATTTAAAATATGATAATAATAAAAATAAATAAAATTTTAAAGGTCAGTGTTTACTATAAAAAAAGAAATATGTTCAGCTTTATGGAATTCTGCTTTTGTGGTTACAGTTCATTATTTTTAGTGGTAGTAGTAATGAAAATTTTCCAAGTACTTTTACCGGTGTGTCCACATACATGAGTATTGCTCAGGCTTCAGAAGAGGCTTGGCTGCAGTGTCCTTTTCTGTGGCAAAAAGAAGGTTGGGTTAGACCCCAGTGAGACCAATGAAATCGCCATTGCCAACTCCCATCAGCAGATCTGGAAGTTGATCAAAGATGGACTGATGATCTGGAAGCCTGTGATTGTCCATTCCCCAAGCTTGATCCCTGAAAAACACCTTGGCCTGCAAGAAGGGCAGGCATATGGCTGAGGTAAACCAAAGGGTACTGCCAGTGCTTGAATGGCTGAGAAGGTAGCCTGGATGAGGAGGATGAGAATTCTTTTCCAGATGCTTAGAAGATACTGTGAATCTAAGAAGATTGTCCACCACATGTATCACAGCCTGTGCCTGAAAGTGAGAGGTAACATGTTCAGAAACAAGCGGATTCTTATGGAACACATTCATGAGCTGAAGGAAGGCAGACGAGACTCAGCAAACTTCTGGCTGACCAGGCTGAGGCCCACAGGTCTAAGACCAAGGAAGCACGCAAGCTCCATGAAGAATGGCTCCAGGCCAAGAGGGAGAAAATCATCAAGACTCTGTCCAAGGGGGAATAGATAAAGAAATATCCACCTCTCTTACCTGTACATAGTGGCCTCAGCAATTACATGCATTAATCATTCAAAATATCCTTCCTCTACCTAAAAAGAAAGAAAATGTCCTAAATATGCCTATGATAATCTTGATATATCAAGGCTTCCAAGAAAATTGAGTAGGGTACTGGTGGTAGATTTGTCTTCTGAAGAAAGTACAAGTGCAGTGATGATATCTTTTTATTAAGAGATAGAGTTAAGAACTATTTGCAGAGACTATAGGAATTAATGATTTTGGACTGTGAATGAAGGACTTGTTAGGAGGTGATGATTTAGACATTTGTTTGCTTTTTCAAGCAGTGTTTGTCCTACTTTGATCTTAAACCCTCATGAGGTTCTTGCCACCTTTGATGAATGAAGGTGGTAGGGCCGACTCTGTCACTGCATTCCAAAAGAAGCCTTTTAATAATTAGTGGCATGGATGGGTGCTGCTTTCTGTCCTAATTTGGCACATAGATTATCTTTGATGTTGTAGGCTTATTTAACTCTTATCATTGGATCATAGTTTCTGCCTTCTGTATTTTCTGTTTTGGTTTTTTAAAATATAGGTTGGTTTTTTGTTGGTGTTTGTTTTCCCCCATTGTTTTTGTAGGTTAACCTGGACAAGCTAAAGGAAAGAGCTCAAAGATTTGGTTTGAATGTTTCTTCAATCTCCAGAAAGGTAAAGTACTGCTTTTGCAATGTTAGAACAGCTTAGGGACTACCAGGTTAAGAATGTAACACTTTGTTTCACATAGTCCTTTGGCTCTCATCTCCTCTCACTGACTACTGATTGTATTACAGAAATTGTTTCACAAAGCTAATTGGTTCCCCCCACCCAGATTGTTTTCATAACTTCTACTTAGGCTGTTTGAGCATGCTCTGTATTTCTCTTGGTTGTCGAAAAAAAAATTTTTTTAAATTATTATTTCCCATTTGAGCATGGAAATATTGAGCTCTTTGGAAATTCATAGGAAAAAATTGACCTGACTGGTTACTGGTTATATTTTTGCTCAGGAAAAAAACTGAACACTAAGAAGTAAACACTTGTACCTGCAGTGGGAGGAGTGGGGGAGAACGACTCATAATCTTGCTTACAGCTATGTTTCATCTTCCCTTCCTTTTGTGTTTACCAGAAATACAACATCAGCTCTGTGCTCAGTTTGATGCTGAAACCATAGGTGTTCAATAGGAGTATTTGCTGGTTTGTGTGAAATTTTTACAATTTGGGAGTCGAGAGAAAGGCAGAGTATGTGATTCTTAAACCACGTGCAGCTTAATTGGGAAGAATTATTATAAACCCAAAGTCATTTGTGTTTTGCTAGATGGCCAAGGGAAAGGATGCTTTGGATGTGTGGCCCTGGATCTCATCTATCTCCTTTCGTATATGACGGTTAGGTGTCTGAGAATCTCAGCAATAACTTCACTCTTCTAAGGAATTATGTATGTTCGTATGTTCCATCAAAATGAATTAAATTGAACATTGTACCTCCTACTACTCGGCTCACATGGACACATTCCTGAGAGGAATTTGTCCCTCACATACACTGTCTGCCTGAGTTGTTTTGTGTGTGTGTGTGTGTGTGTGTGTGTGTGTGTGTGTTTTATTGATTTCCGAGAGGAAGGGAGAGGGGGAGAGAGATAGAAACATCAATCATGAGAGAGAATTCTTGATTGGCTCTGCCTCCTGCGTGCCCCTTACTGGGGATCAAGCCTGCAACCCAGGCATGTGCCCTGACCCAGAATTGAACTGTGACCTCCTGGTTCATAGGTCAACACTCAATCACTGAGCCACACTGGCCAGGCCACCTGAGTTATTTTGATAGTGTTTCAATTCAGGGACATCAGCTTTTCTTTTCCTTTCCCTATAATCTTTCTCCATATTTGACCTGATTTTGCCAGTCCATGAGTAGAACATGAAGGAGATACCTTAGTTGATTTTGTGACTTTGAGCAAAATATTAAACTTATTTGATCCTCATCTATAAAAATGGGAGTAATGCCCTGGCCAGTATCTCAATGGTTAGAGCGCCAGCCCATTCACTGAAGGGTTGCTGGTTCAATTCCCAGTCAAGGGCATGTACCTGGGTTGCAGGTTCAATCCCCTGCCTGGTTGGGGCATATGCAGGAGGCAACCAGGCAACCAATCGATGTATCTCTCCCACATTGATGTTTCGTCTCTTTCCTCCTCCTCCCCCTCCCCCTCTCCCTCCTCCCCCTCCCCCTCCCTCTGCTGTGCTGGCAGCCAGCAGCCTGGCTTGTGGCTGAGCAGAGCTCCCCCTGTGGGAGTGCACTGACCACCAGGGGGAAGCTCCTGCATTGAGCTTCTGCCCCCTGGTGGTAAATGTGTGTCATAGTGACCAGTCATTCCCAGTCTTTCTGCTGTTTGGGTCAATTTGCATATTACCCTTTTATTATATAGGACTAGAGACCTGGGGCACAAAAATTTGTGCACTTGCGGGGGAGGGGGGTCCCTCAGCCCGGCCTGTGCCCTCTCGCAATCTGGGACCCCTCGGGAGATAACGACCTGCTGGCTTAGGCCTGCTCCCGGGTGGCAGAGGGCAGGCCCAATCCCTAGGTGCAGCCCCTGGTCGGGCTCAGAGCAGGGCCGATTGGGGAGTTGGGGCGCCGCCCCTTGTCATGCACAGAGCAGGGCAGATCAGGACGTTGCGATGCCACCCCCTGTCACACTCAGGGTAGGATCACTTGGGGAGGTTGTGGCGCCACCCCCTGTCACGCACAGAGCAGGGCCAATCAGGGGGTTGGGGCACTGCCCCCTGTCACTCACAGAGCAGGGCCCATCAGGGGGTTGGGGAGCTCCCCCCTGTCACTCACAGAGTAGGGCCAATAGGGAGTTGGGGCACCGCCCCCTGTCACACACAGAGCAGGGCCGATCAGGGGGTTGGGGCGCTGCCACTGTCACACTCAGGGCAGGGCCGATGGGGGGGTTATGGCTCTACCCCATCACACACAGAACAGAGCCCGTTGGGGGGGGGGGGGTTGGGGCGCCGCACCCTGTCACACACAGAGCAGGGCTGATCAGGGGGTTGGGGCGCCACACGCTGTCACACACAGAGCTGCAGGGCGATCAGGGGGTTGGGGAGCTCCTCCCTATCAGGCACAGAGCAGGGCCAATCAGGGGGCTGGGGCGCCGCCCACTGTCACACAGAGCAGGGCCCTTGGGGGGGGGTTGGGGCGCCGCACCCTGTCACACACAGAGCCACAGGGCGATCAGGGGGTTGGGGAGCTCCTCCCTATCAGGCACAGAGCAGGGCTGATCAGGGGTTTGGGGTGCCTTCCCCTGTCAGGAACAGAGCAGGGCAGATAGGGAGGTTGTGGCCCCGCCCCCTGTCACACACAGAGCCGCAGGGCGATCAGGGGGTTTGGGCGCTGCCCCCTGACACGCTGATCCCGGTGCCAGGAGGCTTAGCGGGTCCGCTGATCCTGGTGCTGGGAGGCATATTACCCTTTTACTATATAGGATAGAGGTCTGGTGCACCGGTGGGGGCCGGCTGGTGTGCCCTGTAGGGTGTCCTGGATCAGGGTGGGGGTCCCCACTGGGGTGCCTGGCCAGCCTGGGTGAGGGACTGAGGGCTGTTTGCAGCTGGTCACACACCCTTCAGGGTGTGGGTCCCCACTGGGGTGCCTGGCCAGCCTGGGTGAGGGGATGATGGCTATTTGCAGCTGGTCACACACCCTTCAGGGTGGGGGACCCCCACTGGGGTGCCTGGCCAGTCTGGGTGAGGGGCTGAGGGTTGTTTTCAGGCTGGCGGGTACTGAAGCTCCCAACTGCTCCTTTTTTTCTTTTTTTCTTATTCTGGGCCAGCTTTAGCTCTGACTCCAGCTCTGAGGCCTCTGCTGCTGAAAGCAGGTATCTGGTTTGTTTGTGTTCTCTAATCGAAACACTGTATCAACTCCAGCTCTGAGATCCCGGCTGCTGAAAGCAGGTTTCTGGGGTTTTGTTTAGCTTCTATATTTGTAACTATGTTTCAAACTGCAAGCTCAGAGGCCGGCAAGGCAGGCGGGGAACGTTGGTTTCCTTCGTCACTGAAGCAAGCAAGCCTCATGTTAGTTTCAAGCTGCCTGGCTGCCGGCCGCCATCTTGGCTGGCAATTAATTTGCATATCGCCCTGATTAGCCAATGGGAAGGGTAGCGGATGTACGCTAATTACCATGTTTCTCTTTTATTAGATAGGATAATGGTAATTGGCAGAACTCTGACTATATGAGCTCTGTTCTCTAAGCACATTCATTGTCACACATATGTTCTAGAGTAGTATTTCTCTCAAGTTCTGTGGCAAACTAGCCATTTTTTTTTCCTTGACCAGGAATCAAAACCTCAACCCTTTTGTGTGTGGGGTGGTGTTCCAACCACTAAACTACCAGCCCAGGCAAAGACTAGCTTTTTTAAATTTCTAGTTTATTGCAGAGTGGTACTTTTGTAAAATACAATAAAATTAAAATGTCACAGCAATGTTAAATTACTCTAGAAGTTTCTAAACACTCCCAATTTCTGGATTTAACTGCAGAGTGGTAACAAACAGTTTGGGGACCAGCACCAGGAGGCAGATCACATTTTGAATAGCACTGTACTAGAGTATATGATTTTTCCCAGATACCACTTTGCTTGGAGGTTTGTAACTTTTTTAGATGTCTTCTTTGAGTATAAGTTCCATATACATTGATCATAAATCCTGGTTTTCATAGTCATCCTCATTTTAACAGTTTGCTCTAATTTTCCTCATAAACCACTAAAATGACCTAGGAAATGTTGATATTTTGCTGTCTAGACTGCTACTGCCCAGTAGAACTTTTTGTGGTGATAGAAATAGTCTATAGAATATTGTTCTATTTAATAACCTGTTATCTAATATAGTAATGATTAGCAATATGTGGTTAGTGACCACTTGAAATGTAGCTAGTGTAACTGAGGAACTGAATTTTTAATTGAATAGCCACATGTGTATTAAACTACTCAAGCCTAGTTTATGTCTCCCACACAGCTTTTATACTTGGAAGTAGCATAGAACTCCTTTATCAGACCACATAAATTGAATTCCTGTTTTTGTAGCCCAGAATTTTTCGGTACTTGTAGAATATAAACAGTTTCATTTTTAATTATTTATTTATTTATTTTAAAATATATTTTTATTGATTTTTCACAGAGAGGAAGGGAGAGAGATAGAGTTAGAAACATCGATGAGAGAGAAACATCGATCAGCTGCCTCCTGCACATCCCCCACCAGGGATGTGCCCGCAACCCAGGTACATGCCCTTGACCGGAATCGAACCCGGGACCTCTCAGTCCGCAGGCTGACGCTCTATCCACTGAGCCAAACCGGTTTCGGCAATTTTTAATTATTTTTTAAATATATTTTTATTGACTTCAGAGAGAGAGTTAGAAATATCAATGATGAGAGAGGATCATTGATTAGCTGCAAGTAACTTGTTTCCTAGAACCTAGTGTCCTATATCCAAAGCCTGAAATTGCAAACTGGATATATTCTCAGTGACAATTGCCTGTTTCAGTCTTATGTATAACTGTTCTTTATCACCAGAGCTGATTTTCTACCTAGTATTTGGTTGGTTGGCCAAGGTAGTGACATGATTAGGTTTATTTTTATGGAACAGCCAGATCAGCATTCTGTCCACCTTATTTTGGGGTCCTGGATTCTAGTATAAC